TCTGGGTCCCCTCTGTGCGGATCACAGGATGGATCCTGGGGTTAATCCCAGTGTGTGATCTATGATGGAATCTCATGGATCTTCTCTTTCTGCAGGAAAGGATGTGGGAATTAATGGCTCAGCTGCAAGTACAGAGCAGGATCAGGGTGGGATTCGAGGGGGATCAGGGCAGGATGGATGGACTGGGATCAGGGAAGAATTCTGGATCAGAGCAGGGGTCCAGAGTGGGATCAGGGGGAATTGTAGAGTGGAATTGGGGCTGGGTTCTGGAGTGAGATAATTTGTGATGGATGGAGCGGGATTGGGGCAGGAGTGATGGAGTGGGATCAGGGAGAGATTCCAGTGCAGGATTGGGTGGGGTGGATGGAGCAGGATCAGGGCAGGATGGATGGGATGGGATGGGATGCATGGAGCAGGATTGAGGTGGGATCAGGTGGGATTCTGGAGCAGGTCCCGCTCCCCATGGGCTCCAGCCACATCTGTCCTGTGGAATGGGGACAGGGACAGGGTGACACTGTGATCCTCTCTCATCCTGACAGGAATCACCGCCTGAGTGATCCATGGAGCTGCATCCGGCCTGTCCTGGTTCAGGACAAATTTAGGGAAAGACCCCCAAAAGGGTTCTTTCCGGAAAGCAGATTCAATTGGCCCCTCCCCCAACCAGTTCGTGAAAGATACCTCTTTGGAGAAAAGTGGAAAAAAACCTGTTTATTAAACTAGCAAACTTAGACAATATTGAACAACAAAACTTCTTGCCACTCCAAGAGAGAGACAATCCCAGAAAGATCCCTCAGGTCGCAGCTGGGCTCACTCAGTCTCTGATCAGTCCCTCCGGCGCTGGAAATGCCACGGCCCAGGCCCGGCCGCTGGGCCACCAGCGCTGCTGCTCTTCTGGTGTGCAGTCCAGAGCAGGTCCAGAGAAAGGGAACAAACCACAGTCCAGGGAACGTCTTTGCCTCAGCTAGCTAAAACTAACTAGACTAGGAAAAAAAACAAAGGAGAGCTCAGTCTCCTTGTCCGTCTATACGCAGACAACTCAGTCCAGGAGCAGGAATGTGGAGGAGTGAGTGCAGTTCTTGAAAACAAACTCCGCGCTTCTTCCCACCCCCC